CGTGGACCTGACACTCTAGTGGACCACTCACACCATTTATATATACCAATACATATAGTGGTTATTTCCGATCCATGATCGCGTCAATCAATATGCACAGAATGAGCAGGCCAATTTGAACGATCCCGCTTACATGACTGTCAAGCTCGTTAATATTAACAATGGTGATATGCAATACAGCTTCCCAACGACAGTGACCCTCGGGAATGTTGCACAACAACCACCAGTATCAATAAAATCGGTTACCCTGCTAACCAATTTTGTACATTGACTCTTAGCAATGCTTAGCCATCCACAATGTTCACAATGAACCTCTGGTTTCATAGGAAACCCTCTGCTCTATATAGCAGTTTAGCACATGGTATGCACCTAGTATAGCATAGGATAGCAAGGGATGCAGCCCGGCTCGATGCACTATGGCTCAAACACTCTTATTACCCTTTCTCTCATGTCGCACCAGCGAAATTTTCATTTTCCTACTATATGAGACTTCAGTTAGGGGTAGTATCCCTTATTTAGCTTATATTTTTACTACATTCGGTTCTCTGGTGATATTGTTGATTATGAACCTTTAAACTATTTAGAAAATAATAACATTGATGTTATTTTCGATATCTCTGATACACTTGAATGCTTGACATAGAATTCCTAACCCTAGAAATCTTCTACTCATATGAATCTTGAATAAAAGTTTTAAAAGGATAAAACTATATGTGGTGCTTTACTGCCAAGATTGGTTTTGCCACAGAAAATCAAGTTATTTATATAGAATCCTGATACTCTAGATACTCCTTCTGAAAATATGCTAAAATCGATAACCAAAACTAGCAGTTCTTGTACCAAGAAGATATGAGAAATAATTCATTGTTTTATTGAACTCACTTACTTGAAAGAAAAATTGTCTTGTACAAGTTGATCAGTAATTTTTATAAACTAACTCTTGATTGATAGCTACTAGTAATTTTTCGACATTTTCAGTCTACTCATTTATATATGTATTTATTTCACACACGTGTTTACCTGTCATTCTGATGAATTTTGCGATTGAAGTTCTACATGGTTCTGCAGTCAGTCGTTAGTTGTGGAGAGAAGAGAGGTATGTGTGGGTGTAGGAAGGATTTGATTTAGACCAGATTGGTCTCTCTTGCTGTTACGGGTATGAGGGCGGTTGTCACTTCCCGGCTGCCCACACCGTGGAAGGTTGTTTCTTGAGGGACCTGAAAAGGAAGATAGATTAGTGTTGGTGTTGGAGACCTGGGAGCGTGACCGCAGAGTCCAAGGGACAACTGCTTGAGGCCGGTCACGCACAGCCTTTTTATGAAAGGTTTTTTGAGTATTAGCTCCGCTCTTAAAGGCCCTTAGTGGGCACCCTTACCACCGGAGACGGAAATCTGTGAGGTAGGGTGAGGTGTGACATTTTTAGGGTCGACCTTTTCTAACCCTTCCTTCCTTGTGAGAAGGCAGCATCGCTGCAGATGCTGGTTATCCGAGGGAAACACCTTACTGCTGTCACACCCCTCTGCAGTCAGCAGTACGACTTCGCCCTCAGTCTTTGAGTAGCTGCTTTTAGTTCGTTCTCAGTCGTTCTCCAACAGACCTGCCTGGCATGATAGAACCTTCAGGAACATATGTTGCAGCCAATATAGCTCGGTTGGGTGATCACGATAGTCAAGCCCGACCACCACGTCAAGGTAGCAGCTACGGTCGGGGTCCTGCAGTAAATTGGTAATTGCGGAATAATGAAATTCGTTCTAATGGGATAGGATCAAGTACTGTTGCGGATCAGATGGGATAGTAGTTGATAAAAAAATTACTTCAATAATTACATATTTACACAAGGAAAAAAAACTATCGTAAAAAGTTTGATATTCAAGTAGAATCAAGGTTGAATTATATAATTTAATATCTGTATGATAAAAAGAAAAGCATGACCTTCCAAAAGACCTATAATTAGAGGAAAAAGGTGCCAGTATCATTCAAACGTTTCTAGTTGGCGTTTCTTGAACAAGTTCAATATCTACGGGATGAGGTTTTTAACCCCTATATTCAATCCTCTATCATCTGGGCTCGGGAATAGCAATGGTAAGTCTCCATCGGTTGAGATGGTTGGGACATGCTTTACATATGCCTAGTCATCAACTTCGTCGAAGAGTGATTTTGTCTGATGTAGGGGTATAGTAGGCTGGCAGAAAGCTAGGGGTGGGCAAACCGAAGCATGACACAAATCTATGAAGTCATTGGCAGCTAGACTGAGGCATGTTAGTCGATGTAGACTATCTGGTTGGGGTCCGCATAACAATCGTAACCGATGGTTTGAGACTTTGCCATGCCACAGGTGTATCCATTCTAATCCTATGAACTCTTTATGACCTTTAACTTTCTCTTTTCAAATTGATCCCAATGGGATATATTTCTTGAATAATATCTTCGATCCCTAATCTTTTTGAATATCGCTAATACTTTAACTACTCCTATTACTATGGAATTTGAACTGACAATTGCTTCTCTGTTTGTGCTAATATGGTATGGCAACATGAATTGATGTACGTTCACTTACCAAGTTCTACGTTGCATCTGACTGACTGACTAAGACTGGCAGTAATCCTAAAAGGAGGACTAGAGATGAAGTTACATTCAACGTTTGTATGACTTAAACAAAGATTACCAAAAAAAAAATTGTTCGTTTGTTTGTTTAACACAGGCGAATAATCAATTGGAGATTTGTATCACGTGTTGAAAAACAAATGTGTGCATTTTTAGAAGGTTTCAGTGATTTAATTCCATTGGAAACATTACAAATATTTGATGCAAATGAATTAGAATTATTAATGTGTGGATTACAAGATATTAGTGTTAGTGATTGGAAAGCAAATACATTATATAAAGGTGAATATCATGCTAATCATCCGGTTATTGTTAATTTATGGAAGGTAATGATTTTGTTTTGAATAAATTGTATGTTTTATTATTAAAAATTATTATTATTATTATTTATCTGTTACGCCTGCATGTAAACACATCAACTTGATATACTTGAACTATTTCGAGTTTACCTAGTCGGATAACGCGAGAGCGAGCATCGAGGATCTGGCGACACGACATGCTAATCAAATCCGATTATCGCAACCCCCATATTGAGTAAAAATAAGAAGACTTGGTATTAAGTAGAACCTGTATTCTACAAGCATCCAGAAAGTACGAGGTCCGAATCCAGAAGAGAATCAGGATCCCAGACTAGGGATCCGGGACCAGATCTTGGTCCTGGTCATAAAACGTTATAGATAATGCGTATTTATACATTTTGGTTGAATAGGAAACAGCATCGAATTCTGTGACATTGACAGTTAAGACGACCAATAGGAAGTAACATTTGAAGTGACATTGATTGTCAGGACGACCAATGGGAAACAACATTGGAGTACGTGATATTGATATCTAGGACGATCATAATATTGACCAGTAGGAATTAACCAATAGGAATTGACCAATAATTCTCTTATGATATTATACGAATATCCTAACATTATCATTTACAATATCATAATAAATCACAAATTAATCTTAACTGGGTCATTGTTTTATTCTAGTGTATTTATTGTTTACTGCTTGCAACGTAGTGTATAAGTTGTTTGCAGCACAGAGTGTCACTCGGAAGTTATCATCGGAGAGAAGAGTGTCGGATCCTAATGTACGATATCATCAAAGTGTTTCGGAAATCAGATGGCATGTGAATTTCCATGTTTTCGCGCATAAGTCGCTTAGTTGACCTTCACCTTACATTTCCTACTCAGAAAATCCTTGACTGTCATTGGTTGACGGGATTTTTTGTGCTCTATTTTTGTAACTCTCGTAAGGACCTTACTATCATTGTATAAATAATCTTGATCTGTGTGCTAGCAACCTCGTATTTTCTGGGTACTTGTAGAATACACTCTCTACGCCTCATCAAGATTTCTTGATTTAGTTAGTCAGGGCTGGGACAACGGATTAGAATAGCCTATTGTGTCATTGCATCGTTGATCGTCCTTCCGTTTTCCGAGTAGGTGAACTCGTAATAGTTTCAAGCATATCAGTTATGCAAATTAAAGTCTAAAAATAAGGTGCATACTTTTTGCTCGTAAGCTTTGTCTTCTTCAAATAAATCACTGAATCCTGTTGGCCTTATATCTTCATCTGTTGCACTAGTATGGGATTTCTTGGTGATGCGTGCCTACCAACCCTAAATTTTGGGATTGGATCTCAAACCTTCAGACTCAGGGATTCAGAGATTAAGCGTTTGTGCGCGAGGTCGCATGTTATGGATTGTATTTCTGAATATGAAGTCGCAAACATGCACTGTTGAGGAGTCCCTCATTAGGAAGAAACGACCATCCAGTGCTTCGAGATTTTAAATGGTGCTCTGACTAAAATCAATTCACTGTGTAAACTACGTGATTTCTATCATATCCACAAATTTCTCAATGAGTTGTGCGAAAATTTAGACTTGTTACTTCCTTTGATACATGTATATTTAGACGTTGATTTCTTGATCACTTACTACTTATTGAACAGTGAGTATAGGAAAACAAAGCAGAAAAATTTAAAGTAGTTTTGCTACCAGAAAACAAGAATATATTAACGAGATTATTTGGTGTTTTAAATTGTGAAAACTCCTAACAAACGTTCGAAACCACAAGACTAACTAGCTAAACAACTATTCGATGATAAACTAGCATAAGAATTCCTTGGTAGTGGACCTATGATAGCGTCTCACTGAAGGTCGAACCCGAAGACCTAGTAGTGAAAGAATCGCCTCCGGACCTGTGAATAAATCACCCGGTGATTTATATTTGTTGCTTCAGTCAATTTGTAATTTTGCATCACTTATACACCATCTAGTACTATGAATTGAACAGGGTAACTACACGTAACTTTGGATCTAGTTGAATAAATTTTCATCTCATCATCATCACCATCATCTCTCTCTCTCTCTCTTCTTCTTGTCTCATTACTTTCCAAAGGCTATTTATACATTTACAAATGAATTAAGAAGTCGTCTCTTACAATTTGTCACTGGTACATCACGTGTACCTATGAATGGTTTTGCAGAATTATGGGGTTCAAGTGGACCACAGAAATTCACTGTTGAATGTTGGGGTTCTGTGGATCAATTGCCTCGTGCTCATACATGGTATGTTGTGTTTCCTGTTTTCCTATAACAAAAATACTGTTTCTATTCTATCATTGCACTCACAATATCTCTTTCAGTGGAAAAAAATTCATTATTCATTAAAAAAAATAAAAGAAGAAATTTAGTTCTTACAATAGCCAATGAGATATGTGAATAAAAATTATATAAATCACCATTAAATTGCAATTTCAAAGGAGAAAAAAAATTGAAGTACTGATCTTAGTGTAATTCAGCTACTTGCAAAATGCATGTATTCATGGCTATCTTGAATTCCTCAAAACACCCGAATTGATTCATAAATCCAGATCCTACATTATTTTCTTCGATCGTAACTTCAGGGTGACACTGTCGCATATCCAATGCATACCAATCATAAGCTCCACTCAATCAATCTTCGTATATATATATATATATATATATATATATATAGCTAGAAGTTCACAGATGATGTTATTTTGTAAAGTGATTTCAACATGACATGAAAATTAATAGTAATCAAAAGAAGCGATATTATCTGACATCACTCCGAAAGCAAGATCATGTGAATGACACATATGTACCAAGTAGTATTTCTATTTAACACATCATCTAACAAATAATATCATTTTTTCAGATGGTGGAGAACATTTGTAGTCCGCCACAATATCATTTTTTTGTGAAAGTTTATAATTTTCACTGAAATCGTTAATCAATCATTGTTAGACTACTTTTATAAACGTGGAATTACTGGGCTGCTGTTTCGTCGTAGTATGGGAATCTTCAGCGGGAGTCGATTCCAAGACCTTTAATCTTGCGCGCGAACTCTTAATTTTCTAAACCACTGAGCCGGTATCCAACAGTTGTAATGTCTAACCCTGATCAATCTGATCTGCTCAGTAGCGACTACCTACGTGTAAATTCTCGGATTTCTAGTGCGAAACTGTAACTGGTGAAATTCAAACCTGTCGGACGCAAGCAGTTTTCTAGTGAAGATAATAGATGAGGTTGCGCAAATTCATTAGATTGATCGTAGTTAGACATTAACACCATTGGATGCCGGTTCACTGGTCACGAGGTTAAGCGTTCGCGTGCGGGATTG